AACACCCCGGCTTCGATGCAATTTTTCAGCATCAGACGCGAGGGAAGACCAAGGCGTTGGTGCCAGAGGGCATCGTCGGCGCGGAATCCATAGGTGCGCATGTAGCGTGCGCGGACTGCGTCAGGGTCTTCCTCTGGTACTGGGGCGGCTCTTGCTGCTGCTGCGTCAGCTGCTTCTTCTTCTTCCTCTTCGTCGCTCGCCGTGGTTAGCATCAGCGCCAAAAACTCTCTGTCGCGAATGACGGAGTATGAGATATTGGTCCCAGGGATGGTTCCAGGGACAAAGGTTGGCTCGCGCGGCTCGGGGTCAGGCCCGTAAATGGTACGCCGCGGGGTAGAGGATTCGTTACCCCAGTCGATGGTGTCCCAAGGGTCGCGGTGCGGCTGGATGTCAGGTGGAGGTAGTGCAGGAGTAGGGCGGCGCGGAGGGCGACCAAGAGGAACAACAGGAGGTTCCGCTTCTTCTTCCTCCCCCCTTTGTTCCTCGCGGGAAGCTCCCCAGCCTTCGCCGGAAGTGCCCCAGCCGCTTGTCTCGCCGCCAGATGCGGCGCCCCATCCGCCGGTGTTGCCACCAGTTGCTGCTCCCCATCCGCCGGTGTCGCTCGTGCCCAATCCGCCAGTGTTGCCACCAGTTGCTGCTCCCCATCCACCGGTGTCACTCGTGCCCCATCCGCCAGCGCTTCCCCACCCCCCTTCATTGGAGGCGCTCTCTTCTTCCTCCCATCCGCTCCAAGCGAATGTACCGCGCGATTCCGCAAAACTCCGCTGACGAAGCTCTTCTGCTTCGCGGCGCGCCAGTTCTTCTTCTTCCGCCACGGTGAGTTTCGCCGTGGGGTCGCGCCAGTGGGGGTAGATCTCCATGAATTTCTCCTTGGTGTAGGGTCGTGCCACTCCGTCCGCGTCGAAGGTTCCGCGGCGCCGTCCGCGTAAGATGCCTTCGAGCCGTTGAGAGGGGGGTCCTGCGTGGGGGCTGTGTTCGGGACCGAAGACGCGCTGAATGGTTACCTCCAGCTCCAGCGACGTCATGCCTTCTTCTGGCAGCGCATGTCGCTTAGCTTCGGCAATGGCGGCGAGGCCGCGGCCGTCAATTGCGCTGGTTGAAGCAGTGGGCGTATGGTAGTCCCAGCAGATGCCGTCTGCGTTAGGGTCATGCAGCGCCAGCTCGCGTGGGTGAGGGTGATGCGGCACCTACGGCCTGCCGTCAGGATGTTTCCAGTCACGGTGATGAATGTGTTCGAAGCGCAGGGGAATGAGGTCGATGAGTTCCTGCAAATCGCCGCTGCAGTCGGGAATGTCGAAATCAAGTATGTAGACTCCGTTCTCGGAGTGCGCTCTTCCGATCTACTTGCGCGTTTTTTCGGCGCGATGTAGTGAAGCAGGATGTCGCGCGTCTCGGAGTCGGTGCTGAGGTCAACTCCGCAGTCCATGAGTTGCGCCGCCGAGAGGAGATTAAAGCTTAAGTTCTGCACAATCAGCACGTCGTTCAGCGTGATGTGTGTCCTTCTCCCTCGAGCCTTGAGCACCACGATTCCTTGCGCACTTGCGCGCAGGCGTGTGTTGTTCGCCACGGTGACATATGTCACGGCGGGGGTGGAGACGGCGTTGGATATGTAATGCTCAGAGCCCACCATATGCTGCCCACAGCAGCTATCCAGGTACCACGAGTTGTAGCGCCTGTTGTCGTTACGTGCGAGCAGCGCCAGTCGTGGAGTAACTATGTGCGGTGTGTCGAACTTGAGAAATTGCTCGCGCGAGATCCAATCGATCGGAGCCGCCCGCGTATCAGGTACGTGCGGGGGGCTTTCAAGCAGCGGGAGTGGGAGATTCCAGTCCTCTTTGTCGTCGTCGCTGAAATCATGGCGCGTGCTGAACGGATAGTTGTTCGAGAACGCTCCGATTGGGTGACGTGCCGGCTCAGGTGATGGTGAGCGCACGCGGGGACGACGTGATCCGCTTGTCATCGTCATGTTGCCCATGACGTTGCGGACGGCGCAGTCGGTGGCGGCTGCTGCTGCTGATGCTGAACCGTTGGGTTCAGGTTGCGCGATGGGGGTTGATACCCCTGGGCTAGACGCGTGTCATTCCGTCTTGTCGGCCGGACCAGTTGCTCGGATTGGTCTGGCGAGGGCGAAATCGGGAATTGCATCGATCTTCCAAATGCCCAAAATTTCTGCAGATTTTGCAGTAAAGGCACCGCGGTCGTCGCTCCTCTGTGTTGGTGTAGAAAGCGAGGCGTTCCCGGTCTCGTCGCGGCGCTGGTCGCTGCTGGTCCATATCCCTCTGTTCGACAACAAGGGCGGCACATAGGGCGGCCTCCGAGATGACCCCCTGCTGTCGGAGAAGCGCCTTACCACCACTATGGGCCGAACCCTTGAAGCACGGTATTCACGAAAATCTCCTCTGAGATCGTGCTTCCCAGTTTCGCGATTTGATAGCGTAAGCTCCGACAGCGGTTGATGTAGCTGTTGGCCTTCTTCCCTGGGGCCATTTTAGTCTCCAGTTGCTGATGGAGTAGGCGGCTCGATGAAACCGAATCTTTCGGTTGGTACACGCCGTTCAGGTGGCGCCAAGCGTCGAGGGCTGGAGCAGGTGAAGTTTTGTACGATCGAATCCTCAACTGCTCCGCCGGCGACATGTTCCGAAGGAGGATGCCGTATGCCATCAGGGACTCGTTGTAGTATCTCGTTCTGGCGTCGGCGGTATCCTCAGCGGGTCCCGAGTAGCTCCCGTCGAAATAGTGGAATATCTGCGCGTTTTGCAGCAGCAGCTTCAGCTCGAAGCTCCTCGTATAGAAGTTTCTGGCGTCAAAACAAACACTTGTCTTTATTTTTTATATGCTTAAAAGCCTTGATTGCGCAGAGAGAATTGCTTCTTTGCTCGGACGGGGAGTTTTGGGAGTTGATCCATTTATGTCGAGGGAGAAGGAGTGCGGGGCGGTATTGTGGCCGTTCGAGGCCGGTTGAGAGGGTTGGGAAGAAGTTTTCGCGTCGTCATTCCGCAATGTTTGGAGTCCTTGCTCCAAGCTGGTGAGTCGCTGAAGTAGTTGTGCGAGGACGGCGGTTCCAATCGTCATCGTTTCTTCGCTCGTCGCTGCCGGGTTGGGCTGCGCTTCAGCCGTTAGATTCGTCTGGCCACCAGATCCTCCAGCCATTCTCACACGTGAGCGTGTGCCAGACGCCACTTTCCGTTCGCCGAGGATTTCGAAGGTGGAAGTGCGAAGAATTTCCGTGTCGCTCTCATACCATGATGCGATCAGACGTTGATCGTCCCTAGGATCACCTCGGGAAGGTTCGCACACTGTTGATTGGTAGTGGTAGGCCCTTGATGTCAGAGGTCCACTGGTGATCCCCGATTGATCCTAGGGAAGGGTTACAGGCTCGTTGTCCTGGGGGGTTATGGGCGCACTGACCCGCTACTTAACAAGCCATTTTATCCCAATGGTCTAGTGGTTGGGATTATGACATGTTATCAGAGCGAAGGTCTCGGGTTCGAATCCCAGTGTGTGCACTTCGGGCATCCCAGTGCGGGGGGGTGTCAGAGCTCCACTGGTGATCCCCGATTGATCCTAGGGAAGGGTTACAGGCTCGTTGTCCTGGGGGGTTAGGACGCGGTGAAAGTAGACGATCGATCGTCAGTCGCGATCGATGTGCAGATTGGTTACCCTATTTACTGCGCTGTAACCATGCTACAGTACGCTTTTTGGCCAAAATTTCTGTACAGTGTGTGAATGCGAGTGATCACTGATCGCGGGAGATCTGTCAATTCTCAGGTGCGATTGTTACAACGTCGCGGTCGCCATGTTTCGCCGATCGTTCTGCCCACTCGATTGTGGGGCTCGATATTTGCAGACAATCCTGCGATTTTTGCACTTTCACCGCGTCCTTATGGGCGCACTGACCCGCTACTTAACAAGCCCTTTTATCCCAATGGTCTAGTGGTTGGGATTCTGACACTTGGCCTCAAAAGCAGAGTGAATGTAAAATGCTTGAGATGATTAAAACATGCAAATACAAGAGTATAAATAAGAGTACAGGAAGGAATACGAAACGACCTAGCTAGCCATGTACTCTAAGGGGTACATTCCCTTATTGCAGCGAAATCCAACCGTGCGACTCCAGACGGTTACGAAACTGTCCAGGCAGAATCCTCGCCACTGCTGCTGCTTATGTTATCTGCCCTGACGGTCCAGATGCTTCGTAACCGTACGACCCTTCGCGTCACTTCTGCCTTTTCGTCTTCAACCTCGGTTGTGTGTGCTTCGATTGCTGCGGTAAGGAGTGCACAGTAATGCTTCATCTTTTACTATTCGTAACAACAGTAAACAACTTGTTACTGAACACAAATTTATGTCGATGACTTCACTCATTGCCCCTAACAAAGAGTAGTAGTGAGGCGACATTGCCCCTCAGCTTCTCTTTTCTGAGACCCACTCCCTTGCCAAGGCCTTTCTCAACACTTCATCTAAACCTAAGTAATGTAAACTAGCAGCGGTAATTTCAACGACTATACACTGCCACCTCTGACACTGCAATTTCTTGACTATGCCGCGCCTGGCACACTGCAGTGCCATCCGTCCATTCTTCAGTTTTCAGTGTTATCACTTGAGTCAGGCGAAAAAGCGTACACGCCCCAATTTTCCCGTGGCGAAAGTAACGAGGTAGGCAAAAAGCCCATGCTGCGTTCAGTCGATTCGATAAGGGAAAGGCAGTGTGCGACTAACGAGCGCCCAGTAGGGCGTGGATAAGATTGGCGGTTCGGTCGGCGGAGAGCCTTGCCGGCTCATATTGTCAGTGCGGCCCTGGGCTGCTCTCACCTCGCCCATCATGAGCAGCACATACGCTACGCACCCAGCAAAAGTCAGCCGGATCCGTGGTCCCTCCCTCATGTCGACTCAACATCTTTTTTCTGTCCAAGTGTGGTACTGTAGTAGTTTCTGTTTGCCGCCTGCTGCTGAGCTGACCTGCGTCGAGGCACTCGATCGCCATGATCATAACCACTGTCATGCTGGCCAGGAAGACTTGGAGTCGCGGCTTCATCGCGGCGAAGCTTCTCACGGAGCTGCTGGCGGCGGCATTTCTGCTGCCGTCTAGGACCAGGGGCTCCAGGGTAGTCTATTCGGTCGCTCGCTTTCACATCACAGCAGCTTGCGCGCACTCCTATTTCTTGCCAGCTTCTTTCGTGCGTTGCTGCTCACTGCTGCTTAAACTTTCCATGCCCACCTCCCACCTCCCACCTCCCACCTCCCACCTCCCAATACTCAACCACCCACCACCCCCGTTACATGTTGCAAGGCTTCCTCGCCCACCTCTCCCTTGCTCTGCTGCTCCTTGCTACTTCTTGAACTTGTCATACCCACCACCCACCACCACGTGCAGAACACAGGGTGCTACTCGGGTCCCACGTTGATCCCGGTCCTCCCGCTGTCCTGCAACCCGCTCACCATCCCCGCCACCTGCCCGCCCGGTGCGGTCAACATGACGGCCGCCAAGGGCGTGTCGGGCCGCCTCCTCGACCCGACCATCTGCGCCCACTTCCCCTACTCCAACGCCACCCGGCCTTTCCCTACCCCTTCGCCGCCAGCCCCCATTAGCGGTGCTCCTCCTCCAAGCGTCGTGACTCCGTCCCCCCCATCTGCGTCTCCTCCTCCCGCTGGACCGAGCCCCTCTCCTCCTCCCCCCAAGGCTGCTGGGCCGAGTGGAGTCTCTCTCGCTGCTGCGGTTCTGCCGCTGCTGATGGTTGTGCTCATGGCGGGGGTATGAGTTTCAGGCGTGCAGGCTGTGAGGCATGCTCACGGGTCTGAGTTTTGGCCCAGTAGCCACAAGAGAATGCCCTCTTGAGTCCTGTGGTTTGCATTGTAGGCTATAGCCTATTGCATTGCAATGCTTTGCTTCTGGTTTTCTTTGACACTCTGGTCGCTAGTCTTTGATATCCAACTACCTTATGAGCATGCTATTGAGTGAAAAATGCAAGGCTGGTGAAGTATGTCCGTAAACTCGTGCCTACTGGTCAGTCACGGCCAAACGACCGAATTGCATTTGTCACTTGACTGCACACTCCTTTTTGGTTGCTGCCCCATTCGTCGCCGTTTCAGTGGCCACAAGCGGGGCCTTTCTTAGCGAAGCACGATTTGTAATACACATGATGCTCAACTGCTGCCCGCAAATTTGCCCTGCCCCCTGTCGATTACCTGCCCACGAACTGATACAATCCAAAAGTCGCTAGAGTAGCGGAAATACTCTAGGAAGATAACGACGTCCCTGCGGCGGGGCAATTGGTCACTTAGAGGTAGCACTTCTGGCCTGTTGGAAAAACCGAAAGGTTATCGGAACATTCCCGAAGGCTCTCCACTCGCGCGTCACTCCATAACGAAGCAACGCGCCTGTATCAGTATCGCAATAGCTCATATAGAGCATGCGGAAGGTCGAGGGTCACCCGAAGGTCAACAGTCGAAGACAGTCAACGGTCGTGACCCTTGACTGCCCAGTAACCGCACTTGGAAGTTACGCGCTGCAACATGGTAACTGTCAAGAATAGCAATAGTCGTGGTTACTGTAGCAATGCAATTCAGTTAATAAGGGAATGTACCCCTCAGAGTACATGGCTAGCTAGGATTGCTATTTATTCCTTGTAACACTATCCTTTAATCATCTTGTTCTCTTTCAACTTATCAACAAGGTCATTCAGAGACTTCATTGTCTTTCCTTAACTTAGCAGCCTTTATCCTGTTCACTGCGATCCTTCAGTTATAACAACATGGTATGAGAGCTAGAGTGGATTATAAGGGCTGTTAAAGTTCTTGTTCTTTCTAGAACAACCTCTTTATAAATTACTCGTTAAACCATTACACACTCTGCATCACTATGGCTCCTGAAAAGTGGACTTCAGAGTCTCCGGGCCCACCACCAGCAACGCCCACTGCACTATCAGCGGTGACCTCCGTCAGCGCCGCTCTCATTGAGCAGCTGGTTGCTCGCATCAACGCTCTTGAGAGCCATCAAGCCATGAGCATTGATGGCTCAAGCTACGCACGTGGAGTTGCTGGACTCCCTCTCCCTGGAGAAGACCGCCGCGTCAACTCCGAGAGGTCATTTACCTTTGACAACCGCCAAGCTTCAGCTCCTTCGCAGGACAGTCAACATCGCACAGAAACAATTGCGCCAATGCAAACAAAGTTTGTTCTGACTTCAAAGCTGAAGACATCATTTCCCTTCGATGGCAAGGACTTTTACACGTGGAGCTTCGAGTTCGAGCTCCTCGCGACAACCGCGCAAATCTGGATGTACTACGACGGAAGCTTACCGTTTCCAACAGAAGGCACCATTCAAGAGAAGAACCAGTACTACCACGAGTCTCTTCTCGCGTACACCACCCTTCTCCGAAACCTCTCTCCCGCCGAACAGCTTGGCATTCGCTCCTATAAATCAGAGTGGGCACCCGCGTACTCTTCTTGGGAGCACCTGCGCAACTCATACATGGCAACAGATCCCGTTACAATGAGTCGCCTACTCAGCCAACTTACATCGGTCAAAATGCAACAAGGGGAGAAGGCGGGACCAGATATCAATCGGTGCCGCAATCTGCGCGACCACATTAAGAAGTGCGGCGGAACCGTTCCCGACGACATGTTCGTCTCCATGGTTCTTTCCGGCCTTGGACCCGATTGGCGACAGTGCCAATCGTTGCTCCGTGCTCGAGCAACCGTCTCCGAGTCCGCCTTGTGCGCCACGCTTCTCTCCGAGCAGAAGGAGATTGATCTGTACAATGAGAAAAACAGCAAGCGGGATAAATTAGTCTTCTATGCAGGAGCGACTGAAGGGGAGCAGCACGGCAAGAAAGGAACTTTCTGCAAATACTGCAAGAAGCCCGGGCACACTATAGATCGGTGCTACAAGCGCAAGGCAGCTGACGAGAGGCGCAACAACTCCTCCAGTCAGCAGTCTTCGGCACCCTCGGCTTCTCCTGCTACAACATCAACCGTGTCGCCACCTTCCGTCGCAAGCACTTCCCAAACTCCTGCGCGCATCACGGTTAAGGACAAGGGAAAGGGGTCAGTCATGAGCTGCATGGCGCGCCGTCGCAGAGGCACTCGATACTACGATGGCACATAATTTCCACCTATAGCGCCCATTAACCCCATTACGCCCAGACTAGACAACGACCCCACCATTCATAGCTGGATTGATCGACCAAGCAACATCCCACCTGATTTTGAGTTGCCTCTGTCAAACTTATATGCTGCTTATTGTGAAGGCTATAGTGGGGTAGCCCATATGGGGTACAACCCAATTAGGGTTTGCTACTTGTACCCATCTTGCTGCTAGTTCATTCATTCTTGTTCGTACTTCTGACAGCCTCCGCCAACCCCGGAGTCTCCCCCCAGCATCTCCGCAAGACGATACATTGATCTCTCGCCATACACCAGGGACTTCGATCGCATCGTGACTCCGAAGATAGCCGGGATTGCGCGACAGAACCGTGAAAATTACAACACCTGGTATCTCGACAGATGATGCGGGCAACACATGGTGGGATCACCAAAGTTCATTAGCGAGTCAAAGCGCATGCGGCGACCGTGCGAAATCACCGTCGCCAACAACAACCGTCTCAAGGCCTACGAAATCGGAGAAATCTATCTCGAGGCCGAAGACACTCGGAGATGTGCTGGTCGTTCCCAATCTGCAATACAACCTCCTCTCCTCGGCGCAACTCATGAGGTGCGGAGTCGATATTCGGAGCAACTGCGAAGACAATACCTTCGAATTATTCTACAAAAATACCTACATCGGCAAGGCGGTCGATGACGACGGAGTCTTCGTGTTGAACTTCACGGCGGAAGGAACGACAGGCGACTCCGAACGAACTCTGCTCCTGAAGACAACTCCCACCGAAGCGCCGACTTGGTCACACCCTGACGAGATGGACCTCGAGCGTCCTGGATGGACTTCTCCGCTTGCGTGCCCTCCCAACCGCCTCAACCTCCAATCAAGGCGATACCGGACCTGCAACAATGGAGGAAGACGACAACAACGGAGGGTCAGCAACTGCAGAAGCTGACACCGGAGGATGGGGAACAACGCCAGCAGCAGGCGCAGGGTGGGGAACTCCTACTCCTACGATCGGGCCGTGGAGAGTCATCGAGCCACCACCAACCACACCTGGAGGCGGCTGGGGTGCCTTCCAAACTCCAGAAGAAGAAGAGGAAGGAACCACTGGAGAAGCCGCAGGAGCCGCCACAACAACGGAGGAAGAAGAAGGGTGGGGGCCGCCATCAGCACCGACGGACGTCCCGGCTGAAGGAGGCTGGGGAACCGCCAACGCTCCCAACGAATGGGGTTACCCAGAAGCTCCAGGCCTTCCACCTGAACCCGTCACCGAGCTCGATCCTTACTGGGCAACACGCGGCACCAGCTGGGGCGGACCTCCTCTTCCGGACCAATACGCTCCTAACACAGCGGAACCAGTTCAAGAAGAATCAGAAGAAGAAGTAACTTATGAATTCTTCGGGGAAGCAGGGGAACTACCGGAACCTACCGAGAAGCCGTCGTCGCCAGAACAAGGACCGCAACAAATCGAGGTCATCGGGGACGAGTACAGCTACTTCCGCATCCCCATGAAAGGACTTCCCGTCGCTGATTGACCCAAAGCGCCACCATCTCACCATCTGCTCGTCACCGGCGAACAAGTTCACGCCGCCGACACCGACGACATCATTGGAATCCCTCGCGCGCTCCTAGAATGCGACTCCGTACGAGGTTTCGCAGCGGACGCCGATGCAGCCACCGACACGGGACCTGAGAAGCGGCAAAACGACGAAGCGAAAAGGCAAAAATATTATCAGAAGACCGTTGGATATCGTGCGGACCCAGAAACATGGCACCAGCGACTCGGACACCCCTCGTACATCACGCTAAAAATTTCTCTTAAGGCCGGCGTCTTCGACGACGACGCGCTGCTTCTTCCCCGAGGAGGCTCCCTCACAGCAGAATCGGCTGACCCGCCATGCACCTTGTGCCCAACTGCGTCACTCGCTCACAAGCCCTTTCCAGACTTACCTCCCGGCTACGAACGCTACAAGCTGCTAGAGAAAGTCTACAGCGTCTTCATGGTTCTAAGTCAAGACGGGCTCGACGGCGAATCTTACACCCTTACCTTCATCAACGCATGCACACGCCACGTCTGGGCCATCAACACCGACTGCCGCTCTCTTGCCTTCGAATGCTTCGTGGCATGGATGAAGCGGGCTGAACGTCAGTCTGGACTGAAGCTGAAAACCTACCAGACAGACGGGGGTTTGGAATTCTTCTCAACTGAGTTCAAAGAACTCTTCAACCAGAAGGGGATTGAGCACCTGGTTTCCATGCCCTACGCTCACGAGCAGCAAGGCGTGGCAGAACGGACAAACGGGAGCCTTGCCACCAGGATGAGGGCCTTGATGAAGCAGTCGGCCGTCCCAACCAAGTACTGGCCATTTGCGATGAACCACGCTGTCCGGCTGCACAACTTGTTGTCGTCCCGAAGCCTCGAGAACAATAACTCTCCCTACAGGGCTTGGACGGGCAGAAAGGCAGACACGCGTCTGCTTCGGGTGTTCGGCGGCATGGTACAGTACAGGCCACACATAGCAAGGACCGGAAAATTTGCTGACCGAGCACGCTGGGGCATCCACCTCGGAATTGAAAAGGAATACAAGGTGTGGATCGTGCTGGACTACGCGACACACGAAGTTACAAAATCACGTGACTACATCTTCTACGAGAAG